GTCGTGTGGAGTGGGCTAGAAGCGTTTTGCTAGAGCGAGGCCTGGATGACTGCTCAGTTACCAAAATTCTTGACAATTACACTAAACCTCTTGAGCTGCCACTTTCCAGAGAGGATGGAGCTGAGCAAACTGCTAATGGTTGCAACAGAATGGGCCTAAATGCAGAAAATACAGAACTTTCCAGGCAGTCTTCTGCAGATCCTGGCAGTGTGGGGGCCTTAGGTCGTGAGGATCAGCATGGAGGCTCCAAGAAAGCCTGTTTGGAGGGAGATCCTGCAGCCACATGTGGCTCTAAGGAACAGGAACAAGGTGGCTCGAAGCTGGCTGAGGTGTCCTGCCAGAAGTTTGGTTCTCCTGAGCATGGTGGCTCTGAGGAGAAGCAGAGCACCGAGCAAAGATCTTGTGAGGGGATTGAGCCAAAAGAATGTGATCCAGAATATGTGTTGGTGCAAGAGGAAGAAGAAGGAAACTTATGTCCTGAAGATGACTCTGCATGTGCACAAGGAAGTGTAAGGAAAAAGAGTATCCTAATCTTTTATAAAAACTCTATCATTGGTGTTGTTTTCTGAATTCAGTATATTTTCCAGTTTAAAGTCATAGTAACAGTAAATTTTTCTTGTAGCTCGTCAAGAAGGAGAAACTAGTATGCAGAAAAAATCCATTTAGGATCTTTGAATATTTACAACTCAGCCTGGAAGAGGTATGTTTCAAGCACAGTACAAGTTGGTTTACTTTTAATCTGAAAAAGTAAACATTAAATCCTGTTACAGTATAATTTCATACCTGTTTCTAAACTACACGGTTTTGCTGTGTCTCTTAAGTATTGGATTGCCTTAGTCATTAAACTTATTTTTAATAACCTGCATTAATTACAGGATGTGGTTAAGAAATATTCAGAGTCCAATCCCATATGCTTTAGATCCACTGGCAGAGAGTCAGTGACAGGATTGAAGTATAGAAATCCCAGGGATATCACATCTGTGTAAATCCTACTTCAATTGTGCTGCTTCTAAAGCTATTAAACATCACACCCTCAGGAATATACAGCACATGCATAGATGTTTTGTAGTTTGTAGGTTTTCCTGTGTCTGTTGAAATGTAAAGGTCTTGAAGATCTTTTCATCTTGAAGATGAAAATCTCATGACATTAGTATTCTTATATGAAATTAATTTGAGCCTTTGTTCTTGCATGGAACATGAGCTACAGCAAGAGACTCAGTACAGTTTATTCTGCTAATCAGTTAATTACTCTATTTTTTAATTATCAGTTAATTACTCTATTTATTTTTTCAGGCTTTTTTCTTGGTGTATGCTCTGGGATGTTTAAGTATTTATTATGGTGAGGTAAGAGATTGGATTAATTTTGGGTTACCTGGGAATACCACTAGTCTGGATATGGTTGGGTTGGAAATCTTTACCTACCATGGCAGTAATTTAAGCTGTTAATTCTGAAGGAGGAAAGACCAAACAGAGTAATTGGGAAGCTTTTCTTATAAGTAATGATGTTTCTTTTTAGGAAATACTGGTCTGGAAGCTTTAAATTTACCAAGACAAATATAATTAAGCACAGTACTTCTGTAGAGAAAGGATTTCTGTTGTAACTGAGGCAGGAAACATAGGAAAGACAAGTATGGGAGAAGTAACATAGTGAATAGTTTGACTTGCAGTGGGAAAATTCCTTGGAGTTTTAAGCATTAATTCTATCAGGCTATTGCTCATGTAATGGCAAAGTAATTGAAACCCATGCTTCTAGTTTAAGGTTTATCAGCTTTTCCTTTAAACAAGGGCATTATGGGACTGATTGTGGAATGCTGAAAAGATGCACTAAATGGAGCAACAGGTTTCTAGAAGTCTTATAGTGAGGGATTCCATATCTTATTCATGCTCTGTGCAGCAGGCTGTGATATTTGATACCTGCCTGTTGTGCTCTGTTACACAGAGTATTCTGCTTATGTTAATATAGTCACACTGCTGCCCTTGTTTATGGTTTTTAGGAGCCCCTGAGTATTGTGAAGCTGTGGGAAGTGTTCAGCGAGGTGAAGCCTGATTTCAGAACCACCTACATGGCCTATCACTACTTCCGCAGCAAGGGTTGGGTGCCCAAGGTTGGACTCAAGTATGGGACAGATCTCTGTGAGTAGCTGCACCTGACTGAGAATCATAGAATCATCAAGGCTGGAGGAGACCTCTAAGATCATCAAGTCCAACCACTAACCTGTCACTGCTGGAACCCCTAAACCATATCCTCCAGCATCAGATCCAGATGCCTCTTAAACACTTCAGGGATGGTGACTCCACCACCTCCCTGGGCAATCCCTAACAGTGAAGAACTCTTTCCTAATGTCTAACCTGACTCCCCTGTCTCAGCTCGAGGCCATTCCCTCTAGTCCTCTCCCTGCAGCCAGGGGAAGTACCTTTCAGGTACTTGTAGAGAGCTATGAGACTTCTTTTCAGGTAGGACAAGACTCCAGTGCCAGAGAGGAATTCAGCAATGAGCTGCTGCATGACTGCTACTTGCAGCTGGCAAAAGACGTTTCTGGCTAGACTGTGGGTTAGCAATAAACTTAGGATGTGAGTGGAAAATCCTGTCCCATATCCAGTGGCTGAAGACACAGTGTGAAAGGCTGCTGTTTAATTCAGGAGGGTAATAATTCCTACAGGATTTCACTGAAATTCCATTCCCAAGTGCCTCTATCACCTTAAATACATGTTCTCCACTGTCAGCATGACAGTCTCTAGAATAACAGGTTAGCACCCAGATCCCAGTTCACATCAAAGCCCATGGTCCATGCATCCCATTTAATGGAAGCTGGACTTGTGCTGAACTGACTGCTCTTTCTCTGGGTGGGTTTGGTAGGCTTTCTTTGGTGGGGGGAGGGAAGGAGGAAGAGACTTGCTTGTCTGTTAATGGTTGTGTTTTTAATCTTACAGAATTATGAATAGTATTCTAATCCCTTGCTAAGTAATTGAAAAACTACGTTCATCTCATCAGCATAACAGTGCAGTAATGCCTGTTGTTCCAGGAGAATGTGCAGTAAGGAAGGTAGTTTTTAATGTATGCCTGCAAACCAGCAGCTGGTTTAATGTTGCTGATGCAGTTAGACAGTTTGGGGTTGTGCTGGTCTAGTCCTATAGGGCAGTGTGTAGGTTTGACTGAGTTCTTCATCACTGCTATTTCTGCCCTGGGTCGTAGATGAGGTTTTGTTGTTGATCACTTGAGGTACATGTGAAATTGATACTAGTTTGCTCACCATTCATTTGAGTTCTGGCCTGCGTTTGTTGTTTAGCATATCACTGACCTTGGATTTGTGCTAGATAAAGGAAGTAGAGTAGTTTAAGGCTAGTAGGAGTTCTCCTTTACTTCTGAACTCTTCTAGCTTCTTGTTCTTTGGCAGCACCTTCTTAGAGTTGATATTACTACAGCTGGATAATTTTCAATTCATAGTTGTCACTGGAATGAAGTGCTGCTCATCCCTTTCCTGACAGGGTCTGTGCTAGGCAGCTGTATAAGAGAAGTTGGGCTAGTTAAAGAAAGTCCCCTCTTAGGAGCTGATGGCAAAGGAGATGCAACCTCAGAGCTCAGTCACAGCAGTCCAGCTGCAAGGACCCTTGTATAAAGAAGGAAATTTTATTGAGTATGGTGGACAGTATTTAAGAACTTGTACCCTGCACCTCTCCTAAAACTTGTGGAAAATCGATTGCTTATTGTGATATTTTTCTTGTGCTCCAGTGGCTCAGCTTCTGTTGTAAATACAGTGTCAAAAACATGGGTCTGCTGCAGAAAAATTCCTCCCTAAACTTCCTCCTGTGGCAGTCACTAACTGTTCTTTGGCTCTTCTGCTTTATCTTTTCCCTGCCACTCCCCTGCCCTGAGTCACCCTGCTGCTCTGCCCTCTCTCTCCACTTGCTGGACAACTTTATTCTGAGCAGAATTCAAAAGTTGCCTTGTGTAATTATAACTTACAAAACGTTTGACAGTATTCATGGACCCCAGTATTAAACTCAGATGCAAACTCTGATGATCTAATGAAAGTGTTTCTCTTCTGTTCCAGTGCTGTACAGAAAAGGCCCTCCTTTCTATCATGCCAGGTTTGAAGCTTATGTTTCTGTCTAATTTCTTTGTTTCAAATTAAAATTCTCTTGTGCAAATTAAGTATCTTCACTGGTTTAAGTACATATTCATCACTGACAATATGTTGCCAGATGTGTCCGTTCTGGGGAAGTGAAAATCCTTGTAGCAGAGGTACTCAATAACACAATTTAATTGAACTCATGTAACAGACATTAAAAAAAATCAGTGTTGCAGTGAGCATGTTTTGCTCTCACATGATGAATGAATGCACTCAGGAAAGTGATTTAGTAAAACTGACTTTGAAAAATATATGGTATGGATAATTTATGTAATTTGGGAGAAAAAAAACTTGTAAGGGATAATTGCTTTTTTTTTTCCATTAGCTAGTGAGTTTGAACCCCTAGAAAATAAATTGGTTATAAATGTCAGCTTGGCATTCATAAGAGAATGCTACTAACACCAGCAGAAGGGTGGGGAGGGCACATGCCAGTGAGCATATTCACAACTTCAGCTCTTCTTTTCCTAGTAGAAAAAGACTGAAGCCTCCCAGCTTGCTAGCTGCATGCTGGCATATTGCTTACCTCCAGCTTTTAGCCTCTAGTTGTTAAGTTTTCTTCCTCAAATGGTAATTTTCTTTCTGTCAGTTGCCCTATCTGCTCTGCTTTGCAGTTACTCTGTCATTGTTGAATTAGTGGATGATAATTTTGAAGGTTCTCTGCGCAGACCACTCAGCTGGATGTCCCTGTCTGGGTTGAACAGAACAACTGCTAATGCTTCTAAAGTAAGTGTAAGATGCTGGGCTTAAAATGGCTTTAAAATGATAAATGCAGAGTTTAGTTCCAAAGCC